GCTCAGCAGGCATCACACACAGACAGCACCCACTTAAGAAGTAACAAAGAGGTAAGGGGAAGGGATGAGTGACAGAAGAAAATATCTGATTTTTTTTTTAAAAAAAAACTGATTATATTGTTTTCTATTTCATGATAACCTTTTTTTTTGGACCCCAAATTATCATAGTAGTGAAATCCTGATAGTCTCTCTATAAGACTATCTGCTGCAAGGTGGCATTTTACAACTTTGAGAATTTGTTCATTAGTTGGTTATTTATTGCAAAAGCACAGATTAGTCTCTCTGTTCCTTTTCGTAGAATAATTTTGCATAAACCCTGTGGATACAGTTCATAATTACAATTTCTAAGACAGAAGATAGATGGGTGTTTTCAATAGATTTCCCAACAAATCCAGGTGCCAATTTTATAGATAATTAGTAACTTCTTTAAAAAAAATTAGTCTATTCTGAACACATTCCTATGTATCAACATGTATGGAGTTAGTAGGAAGAAACACACTCACTGAGATCAGAAAGAATCTGCATAGAAATTTTAAATAATTCTGATAGCTGAAAGGTTTTCCCAAAAGTTCTGGATATTTTGAATTTGTTAATTGCTACAATCTTTGAAGAATTATTATCTTTTTTTGAATAATAAAACTAAAGAAAATATTTTCTCCAATATAGCTGCTACCCATGCCAGGCTTATTCTATAAATGGATGTGATAGTTATTGGTGCTTTCTGGGTTCTGTAGCGTTTCTGTTTCAATAAGGCTCGCGTGTGCCCTTCAAGGTTCATGTGTGGGAACTCAATTCCCGTTGTGAGATATCAAATAATAGAAAATTAATCTCAAGTGCTTAGAGGGGATGCCTTTGGGATATGATTGGAATTATACAAGGTTATTAGAGTGCCCTCATTATTGAACACTGGTGAAATTGCAAGAAGAGAGAGAGTGACCAGAAGAGACACACATCCATGTGTCCTGTCTCTCGGTTTCTTGCTACATGGTGGCACACAGTGCCTCAGGACTCTATCACAAAGAAGGCCATTTCCAAATCAGGTCCCTCAATCTTGGACTCCAAACCTGTGAGCCAAAATAAACTCCTTGCCTTTGTGACGTTCCATACCTAGTATTTCCTCATAGCAACAGAAAATTGGCTAATGAAAATAACAACCAGAGACTTGCCTCATATTTTGTTAAATTTGTAAAGTATGTGGCACAGTGACAGCCCTCCATAGCTGGACTGGACTTACTAGTCTAGTCTGTTCTTTCCTTAGACGCACTTACACTTTTTATAAATTGCCTCTCAGGAACCAGAACCTTTACAACTGATGCTGCCTGCGTTAAATCTATCCTGGAGACACCCAAAGCAAACCCTCTTGTGGCCTGTATTAGCAAGAAAGATTTTATACGTGAGCTGTAAATTGTTGCTAGGTGGTTTCTAATTTTCCATGGAGGAGTGTCACCAAATTTACTCTTTCTTAGTGCTGTGGTTGAGAAGTGAAACATCTCCCCTTAGAGAGGAAAAACGGAGGAGGACAATGTACAGATATTAAAATTTATAAAGATAGTTGAACATTGTCAGACTTGTATAGTAATTAATGGAAGTGCGCACAGAATTTGATGATTGTGTAGGTGATGCTAGGACTCTCAGGAAGCTGGAGGCAACCACAGGTTATTCCTTGCTCAAAATCCACTGCACTTCTTTCCCCTTCTAGCACAGCTGTCTGTATGCAGTGTTTTAGGGAATGTAGTGTCTGCTTGTTCCTCTGTGTAATCTTGGAGGACTTTCTGGGTTGCAGCACTATGGCTTAGGTTGTGAATTTTCTAAAAGCTTTATGTGATGAAGGTTTGACTTCCAGCTGCCAGAGCTATTAGAAAGTTTTGGTTTTGGAATCTTTAGTAGCTGAGGCAATAGCAGAAAGCCCTTAAGACATTGGGATGTGCTTCTGAAGGGGTGATGGCCTCTTCTCTGCTTCCTTGCTGCTTCATGGTAAAGAGACATCTGCTAGGTGATGACACTGTGATGCCCATGTCACCACAGAGCTAAGCAACCGGAAATAAACCCTTTTTCCTCATCAGGTATTTTCTCATAGCAATGGAAAGCTGACTAACACACTGGACCTGGGAACAAAGAGAGTGCAGTGCATAATTTTACAGGGGAGTGTACAGTTATACAATTCATTAAATTTGACTAATCATAGATGTGATGGGTGAAAATTGGCACAATAAAGGGAAACTTTAGGAATCTGGGAGTTTGGAACAAGAGCAGAACCAAACATTATGTACTTCAGTTAGCATCTAAAATTAAGGAACTCAGGGAAAAGGGGGAATAAGTAAGAAAGAGGAAAAAAGAAGGGGGAAAGAAAAGAAGCAGCTTAAGTTCATAGCACTCCCTTGATCTAGAAGATATTAGTCATGGTAACGAACTAGAGTTTGAAGCACTTGCTTACTTAAGCACAATATGGCTTATCATTATTTACCATGATCTTCCTGCTCTTTCATTTATTATAATAGGGCACACTACCCAGGGAGTGGTGGCACATGCCTTTAATTCTAGCTCCTTACTCTGAACCAAAAAGTAATAAATGCTTCCCTTTAGTATATCAAATCATTGGTTATAACAAAGGCATTGCAAATTTATTTTAAGTCTTTGATTTTTTAAAATAACTCTTATTGGCAAATAAATATTGAAATTACTTGGTATGATTTCCATAGGTTTTAAACTTAAACTTATTCATAATCAGGTATTCACACAGGGGCTGGGGAGCAGGATGAGAATGTAAAATGCTTGCTGTATAAGCATACAAGCAGAAGGACCACAGTTTATGTCCCCCGGACCAATGTTAGATGCTGAGCTTTGTGATGGGCACTTATAACACCAGGGCTCAGAAGGCGGAGCCAGGAGGATCCCTGAAGCTCACTGGTCAGTCAGTTTAGTTGAGTCAGATAAGCTCAGATTCAATGAGAGACACTATCTCTCAAACAATAAAGTGATATCAAAATACCTTCGTTACAAATACAGTTGTTAAGAAAACAAAAACAATTGTTACAAAATAAATAAAATTGTTAATCTCTGCCCTCTTCATATAGGCATGTACATTTGAATACACACACACACACGTACATGTGTGCATGCACTTGCTAAACTGTTCATACCAGAAGGAAAAAGATGGAATGTGCGTGTTTGGGGTTCGTAAGCACCATAGAAGCCACCATTTTGCATCACCTCAACTCATTAAGCCACTACATTAATTTCAAATAGACGTGCTTGCTGCACATGAACAAGAGACTTCTGGGTCACGGTCTGGTTATTAACTCATCAGTAGTTCCTGCCACCTTGCTTTCTCATATGCTTCATTAGTAATGCCATTGTTGAATGAGTTGGGCTTGGGCTTTTGACCCCACCTTGGCCCTACCCAGTGACACACAGAGAGCCTTGAATAGCAGTTGTCACACATCATGCTCATTGCCTCTGGGTGATGTAGAGAAGTTGTCAGGCCCTATTCTGCTTGTCTGTCATTCAAGGAAAGGGAGAAGATATTGAGGGCTTGTCACCAGTGAAATGGAACGAGCTGCAGCTGCTTCAGGCTTTTTGCCTCCCCTCAGTAGCTAAGGATATTAGTATACTGTGACCTAGCTTCCGCCAGCATGCAGGTGGCCAGGAATTAGAAATATTGAATAATCACACACACACACACAAATCACTTGACATATCAATCAAACCTTCACAATAACCATATTCTACTCTTTCCATTTCTGGTTTCACTTGATTTTCCCTTTGTCTCTCAAGAAATTCCAGTGCTTAGCTCTGCAACTCTCTTGTACAATTGATGAAAGAAACTCACAGATCAAAGGACACAGGAATACCTCCTTCCTGCACTGCTGATACCACTGTCTTTTTATGAAGTCAATTCTGGTTAAGGAATGAACAAATGAGTTTTTAATCAATGTGTTTATCTTCCACTTTTGTAAAAAATTGTGTGTGTGTGTGTGTATGAGTATAACTTTTCAGGAGTTAGTTCTAGCCTTGTTGAGATAGTCTGTCCTGTCTCTGCCTCCCTGTGTATAGTAGTAGGCTAGCCACCCCTGAGAAACTCCCATCTGGCTGGAGGAATGCCAGCATTAAAGATACATGTCTCTGCTTCTGGCTTTTGTTACATGGGCTCTTAGGATGGAACTTAGATGGACAGGTTCATGTGGCTAAAGTCTTTACCCACTGCCATATCACCCCACTCCGTCTTTTGCTCTTAGTCTGAAGATTTATGTAAACATTTTTAATTCTGTTATTTACAACCATTTCTTCTGAGTTCCCTGTTTTATAAATATTAGTTTTGTAAAATACCTGTAGTTGAGAATACTACAAAATAAAACAGGGTATATATTTTTTAAAAAAAATCAAAGTATAAATTCATGTATTTAAAATATTTATATATAATTTTCTTGTTGATTTTAACACAATAAAGTTGAATTTTTTTTGTAACAGTAGAAAAAGCAAGAAACAAAACCTATAAATACAAATCAGTATTCTTCATATGGATTTATGTGTGTAGGTCAAGGGAAGTCAATTAGGAAATCATTAAAAAAGAAAAAAGAAAAAGAAAGAGCCAAAACACTGAGAAGGATGAAGAGAGGAGAGAAGAGAAATGCATGAGTTACAAATTAAACACAACTACAATCTGGTGTTTATACATGTGTATCTCTTTCTCTGTCTCTGTCTCTCTCTTTCTCTGTGTATATGTATGTGTGTGTGTGTGTTGGGGGACATAGGCATTGACAACATTTGGTGTGTTTCTCCGTCATTTTACAACTCATTGTATTTTTGAGACAAGTCTCTCTTGACCCTGGAGTTCACCTGTTTGATTATACTGGTTCTCTCCAGTAAGTTCTTCCCATCTGAAACATTCCATTCTCTGGGAAAGTTCCTTAAAACTCAGGATGTAGACAAGTCACAAGTCTCAGGAAATTTTTATAACGTATCGATTCATAAGGCCTTTCCATCCCCAAGGTTACATTGGCAGAGGGATTTCGAGCAAAGGAGATTCTATGGCCTTCCAAGCTGTCTACAAGTCCTAAACAGTACTCCAGAGTCTAGCCTTCGTGACTCTCTTCGTAGCCCGTGCTGAGAGCAAGCCACTTTCGCCATGATGGAGCTGCCTCTCAATATTCTGATTCCTGTAGGTAACCCGTCACCTGTTATTTCTCTAAGTAACCATAATATATTCATTGGTTCAAGAAGTCTGACTTTATATATCTTCCAGGAAAAATGTCATAACTCTTGAGCATTTTGCTATAGGTGTCTAACTCCTTAACTGGTCTCATGGTTAAACTGTTAAGCACAATAAAAATACACATTAGAAAGAAAAGTCTCAGAACCCATCTAGAGGATAGAGCATGCTACTTTTGCAGAAATTTCAAGCTATGAAACAATGTACCAAATCAACAACTGGTTTGTCTTACAGATTTAGCTTATAGTAATTTCTTTAAAGAAAAACATCAACTTGTTTGAGAAAATAGCATAAAGTAAGAGAATAAAACCTGTGGTATACTTTCTCAGTGTATGTGTGTGTGTATGTGTGTGTGTGTGTAAAGTCGAAATAGTGGTGCTGAGATGGTTATAGCTTCTTAATTTTCCCCCCATCATATGACATTTCTCACGCTCATCAAGTGTGTCTTAATAGTTTGGTTAAACTTCAAAATGCATTTCCTGCTGTGGTTATCATTAGAGTCGGGGTAGTCATAGGATACTAATGCCCTTGGGTATGTTTGTGTAATAATCTTCTTGATGTAGAAATCACCTCATAAAGATTACTAATACCCCCCAAATCTATATAATTAGGCAGAAATAAAGTTCAAATTTTAGTCTCCGTTCTTTCCTTAGCATAATTCCAATGCCAAAAAAAACCAATTTTTTTTTAAAGAAAAGAGGTCAGACTTTTACTGCTCAACACTATGTAAAGCTCTGCCCTCTTAAGTGGAAAGGCATATAAGAAGTATTAGAAATAGACTTAAAGGCTCATATGAGATGCCTAGTGGATAAAGTTGTATTTTATGTGCGTCGGACCAGCGTGAGGACACCTGACCTACTTATAAAAGTCAAATATTCGGTTGAGGCTGTAAACATTTGAAGCTACAGGCTCTCTGCTTCCAGATTTTCTGGTAAACTGCAAGAAGGATTTCGTGACTTAACATGCTGAAACTGTTGCTTACGGCGGACATCTGATAAAAGTACCAACGGAGAAATTGCCTTAAGCCTTCTAGGAAGAGAGTAAATAGAATTAATGTTTAAAGGTGACATTCAGACTGAAAAAGGAAAAGATTAATTTGTGTGCACACACACACGCACACACACAAATACACAAGTAGATAACCCCATAATGAATCCTCCCTCATTTTCATCTGGAGTACATTGATCTATGTATAAATACCCTTATGAACAAATGATTTATATTCTAACCTCATAAAAGTGTTATGCTACTAAATATACAGGGATGATCCATTGAGAATAGATAAATGCAGATTAAAAAGTTCTTACTGCACTTGGTTAGAATTATGAAACAAGATGTTCTTCCAGGAAAATGAAAAGGACGTTATATTTCAGATAAGTAGGACTAAATCTAAAGTCCTACTTTATATAAAGAGATTATATAAAATAAGATACACATATAATTTATTTTAACATGGTATTAGATCCATAAAATGATGGCAACTCCATGTTAGTCAGGAAATGCACCTGCACTACCATTTATAGTGGACAACCATATTTAGTTCCAAGACATTCCTCCTTACTCAGATGAGAACAATTTTTCTCACCACAAAGGATATTCCTTTAAAACTCAGAGTCAATTTTCTTATCTATAAAATGGAAATATTATTATTTACTAGGCAAGCTTTTTGTTAGTATTATATAATCTACATGAAAGTATTTAAAAATCTCCCCACCTTCCATTTCATTTATAAGCTCTTCCCCCTTTACAATTACTTTGCTCTTTGTTTCATCAGATCTGAGGCTGGGGAGTAAGAGTATAGAAATGAGAAGGCTAAAGTCCCAGCTGTGGTGAAGCATTGTTATTTTGGATAAAACACGATCCTTACACATCACCGGTGGTTTATGTTTATATTGTTAAGGAGGAAGTTGTGATGTGGACTAGGCTAGCAGATATGACTGCCTGGAGGATGTAAAACTCCATATGGTCTCTGAAGGCTGGGCTATGATGAATTCCGTGTGGAGGGACCCAGCACAGGTAGAGGAAATGGCATGTTTAAGCGCTTTGGGGTTGGAAATCTAACATGGAAATAGGAATATGAGTCTGGCTTCAGAAAAATACGAGGACAACTAGGTGCAGCACTCAGAAGGCAAAGGCCAGTCTGGCCTACCTACCTAGTGAGTTCCTGATCAGCCAGAGCTACATAGTGAGACCCATCACAAAAAAAGAAAGAAAGAACGAAAAAAAAGAAAGAAAGAAAGAAAGAGGAAAAAGAAGGAAAGAAAGAAAAAGAAAAGCAAGAAAGAAGAAGGAAAGACAGAAAAAAAAGAAAACATGGAAAGACAGGGGAATCACATGAAGGAGCTGGTAAGCTGGGTGGTGGGTTATTCATTGCCTGGCCCAATCTTTATACAAAGGACAAAGATCTTCCAAAAACCTTCAAGCAAGAGGGTGATATCATTAACTAAAGAACAACAGATATAGATTTGTTGAAATAATCTTAGAGGTTATGTCAGTTGATCAGTAATGATCCGAAATAATGGAATTCTTGGTAAGGTGAGGGCATAAGAAATGCAGAGGGACATCTGTGTGGCCTCTACCTGTTCATGGTCATTCCTTTCAACAGAGTCTTTGTGCTACAAGAACAATTATCACATCTGGTGAGCCATCTGGACAGTCAGCACTGAGGACAAGAGGTGTGCAGTGGCCTGGAGCTCTCATGGATCAGTCTTCAGTATCCCAGCTCCCCTGAACTCCTGGCCTGGCTGCAAGATTATCCTGACTCTGGGCAAGAGCATGATACCTGAGATGAATCTCAGCAACAGCACAGTGTTTATGGAACTTCAGAAACCAGAAACCTTGAATCAGACCAACAACTCATTGCAGTAAGTATTTGCATGTAAAGATGTAAAGCTGTTTGGGAAAAAAAAAAAGATGTTTTGTGGGCTGGCAGTGGCATTTTGATGATTAATGTGTGATGGAGAGGTAGGAAAGATGGCAGAACTCGAGATACAGTCACAACAGCCGCCACAGGTGTGGGATACAGCTGTGGTTGTCAGGGGTGCATGTCCTTGCCTGGTAGGGCTGGCAGGGTGGTGTGCAGCAGCCTGGAGCTTACAAAGGCTCTGTCCTGGCTCATGCTGCCCAACTGCACAACTGCTCTAGCCCCGAGCAACTACAGGATATAGGAGACAGAAAATGGTTCATTTTCTGGATGGGGCCTCCTCGGTTTGTGGTGCTGCCAGAATCCATGTGGATGTATATGATCTGTACTGCCACCTGAAGCCATGTTGATGACTGTGGGTCCTTACTGATGTGAGGGATTGGGGGATGTGGGAAGGTGGGGAGGTGGGAGGGGTTGTGGAATATTACTATAAGATGTGTTACATTCATTTACGCCATGGAATATTTGTTCAGTGATGTCAAGATGTGTCCTTTTGTGCTGCATTTGTTTAACTCTGTAAAGCTGTGTTACTGTGCCTGCCTAAAACACCTGATTGGTCTAATAAAGAGCTGAATGGCCAATAACTAGGCAGGAGAGAGATAGGCAGGGCTGCCAACCAGAGAGAATAAATAGGAGAAGAAAGAGGAACAAGAACAGGATGAAAGGAGAATGACAAGGTCCCGCTACCCAGCCACAGTCAGTCATGGATTAAGAAGGGAAGAAAGATATATAGAATTAAGAATGGTAAAAAGCCCAGGAGCAAAATGTAGAAGAAGAGAAATGGGTTAATTTAAGTTAGAAAAGCAGGCTAGAAACAAGCCAAGCTATGGCCAGACATTCTTAAGTAAGAGTAAGTCTCCATTTATTTATTTAGGAGGTAGGTGGCAGGCACCCAAAGAGTAAAACAAAACAAAACAACAATAGGAGATCATGCAAACATTCTTGATCTGTGTGGGGTAGGGAAGTACACCATTATCTTTAACTAATGGGCCCCTGGGGGTTTGACTATGTTCCAAAAAATATATGAGCAATACAAATTGGACTTGGTGTTTGTTTTTTTCTATTGGGGGATGGTCATAAGGGTGGGAGGGTGGAGCTGGGAGGAATTGGAAGTGAATGTGATTGGGCTTCATTGTGAGAAACTCCCAAAGAATCACTAAAAATATTATGTTTGAATAAAAAGATGTAAGTGAAATAAAAGATATTCTAGTTATCAGGGTAACTTTAGAAATGAGTTGCAATCAAACAATTTGCTAATAATTCAGGCTTTCACTGAGTCCATAGACATGTTCATTATTTATGTTCCACATGACAGACAAACTCCAGGAACACAGAAGACAATGGAATGCAATGAATGGCCGAGCAGAAGTCAAGCTCCTTGGCTGACTCTACTATGGAGAAACTCCAAAGGGATGTAGCACAGGACAAAGCCTCAAGTTTAAGAACAATAGTTTGAAGGAAATTTGAGGACATCTTCCAGGAGAAGGGAGTGAATATTACCTGACCTCATAGGTTGGGAATTGGAAGCAGTGCTGAATTGTAGCATCCTTCTTGGCTTGGTCTTGGAACCCTGAATAGGGTCATCAACAGGAATGAAGAACACATAAACAATACAGACACATATAGATGAGGTGAGTTATATGCATTCTCATGGAGCTGCATCAATTACCATAGCAACTCAGAAGCTCAACATGTGTATACATACGGCACGGGGGTGGGGGAGATGATTAGTCTTGATAGGAGGTGTGTGTAGTAGGTGAGTAGTTTCAGACTGAAGTCATCTGGAAGGAGGAAGCGGCGGTTGCTAGTTTTTGCACAGAAAGATCAATTACTTAGAAACTTTCTTACATGGAGAGAGGAGGGCTTTGCCCTTCTGAACCTGACCCCAAAGAAAAGCTTTGCCGGTTTCCCATGGGTCTGATTCCTTCGTCCTTCCTAGTACTTGTCAAACAATGCACATTCTATCAGAACGTCATTCATTTGTGTCTTCACTGGCTTCCTACACTGCATTCCTAGAGTATTTTCTCTTTCAGTGGTGAAAAGTGACCCTCATCAGAAAATTCCTGATCCTACATTTCTCAAGGCAGTGGAGAATTAACCCAAAGACTCTAGTCCCTGGTCCAGGCTGCAGTGCATATGTGGTGAAGCTCATTCACATCTTATCAGAAGTGATGGATGTCACCAGATGTAGACTTTGCAACCTTGGGATATTCCCAAACATGTAGAGGGCTATTTATACACCTAGGATTGTGGACATGCATGGCAAAGAACTGAGAATCTATGTAACTTTTATCACTGATCATAAATAATATGAAATAATCCATAGAGCCCATGTAAAGTCAGGAGTAAGAGTTTTGTCTGGAATGTGTGGGCGCATGCACTCACATAAACATATCATGCACACAAGTACAAAATAAATAAATAAATTAAAATGTAAAATTATTCACAACAAAGAGTTCGTGACTATACAGTCTTACGATTAAATTTTATTTAAAGAAAATACAGTCTTCCTTCAATCTTTTGAAAAAAATACAAGTAGAGGAATGAAACCTAATCTTGCTTATGAAGTCAGTATTTTTCTAAACTAAAGCAGATATAACAAGAAAAAGACTTTAGGCCAGTAACCTTTGTGAATACAGATGCAAAATCTTTCCCATAAGCAATCCAAATCCAACAGTGCTTGGAATACATTATGTAACATGGTCAAGTAAGATTTATACAAAGAATGCAGTTAGTTGGAGATTCAAAAACCAAGCAGTGTAGCCCATCACAAATAGATTAAAGGAAAAGAAACACATCTTCCAGCAATGCAGAGGAGCACTGTGCAAATCTAATCTGCACACTGGGCACACAAGCTGCAGTTAATATTAGTATCCTTTGTGTTAGTCTAACAAGGCAGGGTAACACGGAGAAAAGAAAATGTAGTTCTTTGCCTTAGAGTTTGAAAGAGTCAGAGGCATGGCAGCAGCATTAGCGTGGCACCCCTTAGGACTTTAGGGTTGATGAGTCACAGTGGTGGGGGCATGTGAGGGAGGAAGAGATGTCATCTGGGAGTAGAATGACAGATGAGGACCCCACTGGGTTTGCTACTATAACAACTTGTTCTATTCCATCTTCATGCTTTTGAGGTGATGACTCTGAAGCTTACTCTCTAGACTTGGCTGTGCTCTCTTGCCTCTGCCTCCCAAACAGTAGAGTTTTAGGAGTGCGCACGGGCTGCAAGCTTTTTCTTTTCATTGCGCTGCCATTTCAGAAGATCTCTTTTGAGACTCCCAACTCTCTGCACCACCACAGTAGAGATCAAATATCCAACCCATGAGCCATTTCAATGTTCAAGCATATCCCACCGATATCCTAACTAGCAAGGACGATGGCATCATCTAGCAGACAAAGGGTATCTGTGAAAAACCTGGAACTAACATTGTGCTTGAGGATGAGTGGCTGAAAGCATTTAAGTAAGATCAGGAATGAGACAAGAGCATCTAATCTCTGTTTCTATCCCCCATTAGAGGAGAGGTTATAATTATGCCAAATAACAAGAAAAAAAATTAGAAGATGTGATTATGGAGGAAACAGCAAAACAGCTGCATTTGCTGGTGGTATGAGCTTGCTGACAGGAAACCCCAGCAAATTACAGCATCAGTCTTCAGAGTTCATTAATGAATAGAGCAAAAACAGCCTGCAAACTAATATAAAAACCCCACATATATCTATTAAGCCATAGTGAATATTTGTAAATACCGTATAAAAAATTTAATTTACAGCAACACAAAATTGCATAGGATTAAGTGATCCAAATAAATATCAATACTGTCCACTGCAAACTACAAATCACTATTGAGAAAAAAGCAGAGAAATAAGATGCAAACAGGAGGAAGGAAACGGCTCACGGATTGAAAAACAATAAATGCTAAATGAAATCCTCCCTATAGCTGTTGATTTAATGCAATCCGAGGACTTCTTTGCAGAACCTATAATTGTCTTAAAAGTATTATGAAAATTTAAGGCATCACAAATTGCAAGCAACCTTGGAGAAGGAGAACAAATTCAGTGTTCAGACTTACTGATTTCAAACTTATTGCAATGGTATGGAATTTACTTGAAGGTAACAAACCCTGCATAGCTTAGATCTGCAGGTCAATGATGGAACTGAAAGCCCAACATTGATCACATAAGGACTTACCACACGTTGGTGGGCAATTGATTTTGACAACAGTGATAAAAGCACTTCATGGAGAAGAGTAACTGAAGTATCATAGGATGATACTATTGAGTATTCCCAGCCCAAATACCCTTCTGTAGCTCAGGAGTTGTCAGTTTTCGCTTGATTAAATTCAAAAAATGATTTGGTCAAGTTAGTATTAAAATTTCTGATAATTTTTTAAATATACTTATTTTATTTATTTATTTATTTATTAAAGATTTCTGTCTCTTCCTCACCACCGCCTCCCATTTCCCTTCCCCTCCCCCAATCAAGTCCCCAGGGAACCCGAAATATACTTTTTGTCATGTAATTTTGAAAGATTGTTCTGGTATTATTGTCACAATATTCTTTGTTACAATCTGCATATTCCTGATCTAAACAAATGTTTATCAAATAATTTTCAGAAGTTAAACATTGACACAGTGCAAGAATCCTACATGCAGATGCTATTTTCATTTCAATATGATAAATCAAGGCAGGGAGAACTTGAAGAACTTGCCTAAAATTTCATTGTTTATAAACACAAAAAGAATGTGGTTAGCTTTACCCTAGGCACCATAGATATTTGCTTTAAATGTGGTAGCATTTCCAGTACGAAGGTAATTTACCCTAGTGTAATATTTGTGAAATGACAACAAAAATGTGCTTTGTGGTATTTTATTGTTATTTCTTGAGATAGGGTCACTTATATTAAGTCTAGCCTCAAACTTACCAAAGATGATCTTGAACACCCAAGCCTCTTGCCTCCATTTCACAGATATTTGCATATACATGTGCCTCATGAAACCTAGGTTAAATGTGTTTTAAAGGCAAGAAATCAATTTCCAAAATTATTTTGTGGTGTGCAAACAAATTCTGTCTGAAGACTCTTATTCTAGAGCAACATTGCCTAGAGCCCAGCTAGAGGATGAGGGATGAGACTAAAGATCAATAGGTACTTTGATTGTCTACCTTCTCATCTTTCCTTCCTTCCATGAAAGTTGTTCTCCAAGGCACCATCATAGCACATCTCACCAAAGAGCAAATGTGGGGAGGTAAAACTCACAAAATATTTGGGAAGATTTGTGTTTAAAAAAGGGGTTTTCTAAGTGCTTAGGAAAATTTATCTATCTGTTGTAGTCGAGAAAAATTACTTGTACTTTGTGTATTGTGGCTCTTTAGTTGCATCATGTTTGGTTGTTTGCTTATTGTGTTTGACAGAAAGATAAAACCTACTCAGTGTGCTAGGACTGCATGCTGCATTAAGCACCATCCCCTGATTCTGTTGTATTGAGCTTTAGACCGAGTTCCCCTTTAAAATTGAGTCATAGTTTTGTCTTAGTCAGAAACCATAGCTAAAATCTAAAACTTTGATTTAGTCACACAGTGAAATTTGAATCTTTGTAATCAAACTGATCTGCTTAATTAATGCAATTAATAGCCTTTGAACACTAAAACATTACAAGTATTACATTACTAAGATGCCCACATCTACCCTAAATCTTAATTTTACAGTATAGTGAACTCAACATGTAAAAACAGTAATCCCTACCCTTGGAGTTAGGATCAGACTTACATGACATTTTATGAGTAGAATAATGTTAGAATAGCCAACAGGCATCTGAATATGGGCGTTATCTTTCTCTTCCCTCCCATATAACATTTTTTTTCAGAATTTCATCATACATGCAGTAAAATATAATATTACTCCCATTTTCTGTTCCTTTTGGTGTCATAGTAAGTGTAATTAGTGCTGTCCGTAAATGCACAGGTGCAGAGTCATCTACTGGAGCATGGGAATCCTACTGGAGGCACCATCTTCAAATAATGATTCTTTCTCCTCCAGCAGCTATCAAGTCCCAACAACTCCTTAGTATGTATATGGCCTAGAGATTATTTACCCATCTATGCAAGAATTTTGCCTGTGTGGTCTTGTGTAATTCCTGCCCCATGCATGTTGACATGGGTGCTGTAGGTACAAAAGCCATGTCATACCAGAAAATAGAATTTCACAGCATTCTTTCCAATCCCACGGCTCTTAAACTCTCTCTGTCTCTTCTTCTACAGTGTTCTCCAAGCCTTGGTGGTAGGGCACTTAATACAGTTCACTCTCAGGGCTGAGCATGCAGTCTCTTACTCTCAGCACTGTGGCAAGTTGTGCATCTTTCTATGCATCATCTATGCACAGGCATCTTTGCCCACTACAAAAAGAAGCTTCTCTGAGCAAGACTGAGAGTGTTCTAGGTCTATGGGTACAAACAACGATATTTAGAAGGCATTTTGAAACCATGACTACTTAGAAAAAAATCTGAATCCAAAAACCAAGAACCTATGACCTTGCCTAGTTCTTGGCTTTTGATTAGGATTGCAGAACGAGGCATGCAATTTCACCAAATGGAGCAGGTCTCA